TTTGTCTTTAAAAAAATTGTTATTATGACAAAAGTAATACATGTTTTAAATTCATCCTGGAATAAGGAAAGGTGATAGGGTTCCTAAAATTTTAAAGCAAGGAGATAGGTTTTAAGCAAAGGGAATAAATTATATAAAGGAACTAACTCATAAAATGTAAAAAATTCAAAGAAATGTCACTTGTGTTGAGAGGCTGGAACATTGGGCATATATAGAAAATAGCAGATGAGTTTAGCAAATTAATCAGGGCTGAGATCATTAAAAGCCTTGCTTTCTTGCCAAGACATCAATGTTTTTTTCTTAAAGCAGAGAGGAGCCTGTAAAGCTATTTAAGCAAAGGAGAGATACTTTAATGGGTACATTTGGGAGAGACTTTAGTAATATGCCAAGGAAAAGCATGCTCAGTGATTAGCTACAGAACGAGACAGAATATGGTGAGCATAGTGTGTCAGGGGTATATCAAGGGAAGAGGAGCCTGAGAAGGAGAGTGAGGATAATTCAGTAAGGGGTTCAAAAGATTTCTTGATCTAGAACACCAGGGTTCTAAATGATTCAATGAGTTTAATTGATTCAATTTTATTTTTAATTGAATCACATAATGGCAGAGAGCATAATTGGCAGAGAGCACACTTGCTCTAGATAATTTTATGGATAATTGTATCTAATTTGAGGATATACTATATCCAGAATAAAAATGATACGGACTAATATTATAAAAGAACACCTTTAATTTCTAATAATGTAAAATTAAATGTGCTGTCTATTCAGATTAAACTTGTCCCTAAGCAGCTCTAAGCACATTAAATAAGAAAGCAAGGCCATGTTTTCAGTAAGACATACAGAGGCAAACAACAAGCAATGTCATTTCCTATCTGGCCCTGCCTGCTTGTATTTTCAGGTTAATCGGATGTTCTATTGCTTCCCCACTGATCTCTCATTTTTAGGTGCAAGTGAGTTAATGATAGTTTTCTCCTAAACATGCCATATTGTTCTTGTCATAGCCAGCCCCATCCTATCTGGTAAATTTCTGATCCTTCTTAAAAACTCGACTGAAATGCCCAAGTCTTTGTCAAGGCCATTCTAATGTCTCAAGACATTTCTACTTTATCTTCAATGTACATACTTTTGCACATAATTAACATGCACCTTCTTCTTAGATACCCTGTTAACTTCTTAAGGACTAAAACTGTATCTTCTTATTCATCTTGAGATGTGTCCTCAGCATATAGATGAGTATTGGGCATATAAGTAGATACCTTAGTTGTTGCTCCAAGCGTGAAAACCATAGCTACTGTGGGGATAGAACCTTGGCTTTGCTGTTGATTGCCCCATAAAGCATGGTAAATGACCAATCATCAGCTTGTCTTTCTTAATGCTGTTAATCAGACCTCTTTTGGAAACATTAACATTTGTGGTTGTCATCTTCCCTTTCACCTGCCGAAGGTTCTATGAGTGCCATCTTGTCTATTCAGTTGTCTTACACCTTCTCTAAAAGAGTGGTCTAGACACACTGACCTCTGTTGAAGAAATTTGCCTTTGCTTTGTTGATTTTTTTTTAGCCTTTTCAGTGTGCTGTTAAAAGCTCTAAACATTAGTTTTAGCCTTCTCCTTTGTCTCTGTATTTAAAAAAAAAAAAAATCACAGAATATGGTTGGCCACGAAATGGCCAAAGAAATGCTTTGAAAACAAAACAGCAAAAGAATCTTTAGTAAAGACATCTAATGTGTATCCATGCACTTTTTTGTAAGTAAGTTATAACGTATAAGATACTTGTTTTTTCAAGCTAAGAAACAAAAAATTAAGAGCTGCCTGATTTGGAACATAAATTACTACACTGAACATGTGTGCTGACTGTACATGTACACATTTTCCAGTGATTTTTTTAAATTATTATTTGATGCTTTGGATAAACCAAAAATGCTGGTGTTTTAACATGATTTCACCCTTGTTTAAAAATTGGCTCCTTTGGCCGGGGATGGTGGATCATGCTTGTAATCCGGGCACTTTGGGAGACTGATGCAGGCAGATTATGAGGTCAAGTGATCAAGACCATCGTGGCCAACATGGTGAAACTCCGTCTCTACTAAAAATACAAAAATTAGCTAGATGTGGTGGCACAAACCTGTAGTCCCAGCTACTTGGGAGGCTCAGGCAGGAGAATTTCTTGAACCCAGGAGGTGGAGGTTGCAGTGAGCCGAGATTGTGCCACTGCACTCCAGCCTGGTGACAGAGTGAGACTCCATCTCAAAAACAACAACAACAACAACAACATTGGCTCCTTTACCCCTCTACCTTCTTTTCCGGCAGCGCAAACCACACTGAAGTTGTCTGATCCAGTACCTCTTAACTGGAATTAGACAAAGAAAAAACTCATTTGCAGAATAATTGCATTGCAGAACAACTGACATCATTGGTAGTAAAATATTCTACACTTAGGTTTTGTTTTTCCATGACACTGGAGATCCATCATTTTTAGTCAAGCTAAAAATAGATTGTAATTTTATGCCTGTAAATAATGTCTCAGGCACGAGGATACTGGACAAAAATAGAAAGTAGGATTTGATTTTTAAATTAATGCTGTAGCCCAAAATACCCCTTCTTTACCTTGTTGAATATATTTCAGATCCTGCTTATATTTCCTGGAGCTTCATAATATTTATAAAACTGGAATGGGGAAAGAGAATGCTTTATTAGAGGCTATTTTTCCATAATTCATCTGAGCACCTTGCTGCTGTATTTTTAGTTCAATCTCTGTGAATATTATGTGCAGCGTATGGTCTCTTAACCTAAACACAACCCTGAAAAGTACTTCTTTGCCTTTGCCGTCAACCTTCATTTCAACATCTATTTTTTTATATGTGAAGATGCAGTATTAGCAAGAAAAACAGATCTCCATCAGCATTTGATTCTGAAATAGACTTAAGGAAGTTAGGTAATTCTAAATTTCTAATAAAAATATGTCATAGAACTTGATATTAGATATTTCATTTAATAAATTTTTTTGTATCTCCTTATTCTTAATAAAAACATTATTCCTTCTGACTTTCTTTTATGAAAATTCTTTGTCTAGGAACTGTTAAAAAATCTACAAACAGAGCAAAGGCAGATATGCTGGTGCTCATTCCTTACTTCATGGTGGCTTCATTTAATAGTGGCATTTTTGACTCTATGTCTCCAAAGAGCCTCAAAGTACTTTTCTTTTTGCCTTCTGACACCTCCTTTCCTCCCCTTTTCGTGTTCTTATTCTTACTCCTGCAAATTAAAACTGCAATGCCATAAGAATAAGACACATTTGGATGAATAGAATGATGGATAGAAGTATGATAAATCAAGTATAGTAAGTTGTTAATGGTAGAATCTAGGTGGAGGGTATAAAGGCATTCACTGTAAGTTTCTTTCAGTTTTGCTAGTTGCTTGAAAGTTGTCATAATAAGATCTCTTAAAAATGGTTACCCATGAAGGGTGGGGTGACAGCTTTTACTTATTCTGTGTTTCAATATTGTACACTTATTAGAGAAAAAAAAATGAAGATAATTCTTTTAAAAGCTAAATGAATCTGTCTTCACAAATGAAGTCACCAGACTATTGACTTAAATATTCTTCATATTTGAAGTTTACATTAATCCATGCTAAATAATTAAGGATGTGATGAAAGAATCAGCTGTGTATGATGCTCACATCATTACAGTAGGAAATTGGGTACTTCAATTATAGCATATATATAGTGAATGGAATACTATGCAGCCATTAAAATATATAGATAGAAACAAATGCACTGACATGGAAAGATATTTATAATTTTCATATTTTATATTTTATACTTAGTTAGAACACATAAAATTTATGAATATAACCGAAAGTAACCATGCATACATATATATAAAATGTTACCTCTGAATTATGATGTTATGAATTTTTTCTCATATATTTTTATTCACATTTAAAATTTTTTCTTAAAATAATATTTTGCCATGCTTTTTATGTAACTTAGTAACATAAGAAAGATGGAAAACAGAAAAGAGGAAAAAAGAAAAAGGTCATGTCATTTTTCTGTGAAAAAGAAGTAAGGAAACCTTAGTATGTTTAATTTTTTATCAAACCAAAAAGATTATCTGGATTTTCCCTTGAATCTATATCATGGAAATCTGTTCTCTTACATTTTCTTAATTTTGCTCTTATAAAGAATGCACTTGAAATATGTAAAAACAAATAATTTCATTCATTCTTCTGAAGATATGTTCATGGACTTGACTAGCAGTTTTGAAAGTTAAGATGTTTTTTATGTTGTGGGGCCCCAGGCATTTCATACTTGGAAATGGCTTATCTTTAATCTCTAGTTGAATTATATTTCTATTTCTGACTCACAAGGAAAGGAAGCTTCAAAGCAGAAAACAGAAAATCCAGTTTCTCTCTAAATACAATAACCATTGATATATTTCAGACAATGTAACACATATGTTTCAAGGTTTCCCAGTGTCCTACCCAGAAGAATCAAGAGTTCAAGGATGTGTCAATTAAGCAATAAAAATATTTTTACTTATTATGCATCTCCATAAGGAGATGTAAGCAATGTGTTGAAATTAGATACTCTTTACAATATGTTTCTGAAAAACATAAAGGGATAAGACAATTACTGTTATTTTTTCCGTTCTGCCAATATTTATTGGACACTTGGTTTATGACCCTAGACTTAATGTTTCAGTTATTGTTTCTACTCTTTAAAAGACATATTTTTCCCCATAGATTTTCTTTCAATAGCTATTGAAAGAAATATTGGATAGAAATAAAAGTAAAACAAGCAAAAATAAAATTCATCTCATGTTCTAGTCCTCTAACAGTCTGTTAATATGGAATTCGTCATTTATTCTTTTATATGTATATATGTGTGTGTTTGCTCCTTCCTATCCTCCTCCTCTATGCTGGTCGTCTATTTTAAGTGTGTCTTCTTGTTCCCTCAAAATATATAATGTTTTGTATTCTTTGTCTCATGTCTTTCTCAGGTAAAATGTCCAGTGATCGAGCTTTGAGGAAGCAGCAACAGTTGAACAACCTTGTCTATGTGGTAACAAATCAGGCCAAACCTGGTGACAGAATTGTGGATTTCTGCAGCGGTGGGGTATTATCTCTCTCCTTTTATCTTTTTTAGCCTTTCTAGGATTATATGACTTTCTATATTACATTCAAAGTCATGTTTTTATTTGGTGAGATTGTGGTTTCAGAATGAGGAAAAGCTATGGGGACCAAGGCTAACTTGTTTGTCTTACTGACTTTTTCAGGGCCATGTTGGAATTGTCCTTGCTCACATGCTGCCATCATGTCAGGTAAAGCCTGAATAAGAGATAAAAGGAAATATTTAAAAACGATACAGTTTAGCTAGCCAAATTTGGCTTGTCCCTGCTCTTGGAGTTTCTTATCATTCAACCAAGTCAAATATGTAGCACAGGCATTTTCTTTTCTTTGAAGTAAACTTTCTTAAGGAGAAAAATGTAAAGTAAGATCACAAAAGAGTTATCAATTTTTAAAAGAGGTTTATATGTTTAAGAAATTTTTCAAAGAAATAGCTATTTTATTGCTAAATAAAATAATTATGATTCAACTAGTTTAATTTTCAGTATAATTTTAAATGGAAATTTAAAATTTCTGAAACTTGCGAGCATGTTCTTTTAGTATCTTGATTTTGATCCATTGCATCAAAATTATAACAATAGCAAAATTTTTTTAAAGAAAAAAAAAACAAAACTGATCCATCAAATGCTTTGCTTTTCTTGTTCTCATTAAGCCATTGTCCGTATGGATGCTTATTGTTGCAAATTTTAAAAATACAAACATAATTTGTCCCTTGCTTTCACTCAATATTTAATCATAAATATTTTTCCCTGTTGCTAAGCTTTACATATCATCTTATTTCAGAGATGACCAAATGTATTTTTAAGTAATTGTATCATAGTTTATTCAATCAGTGCCACAATTTGTTAGAATTTTGTGCTGATTTTAGTATTCTGCTATGTTAAATCAGTTTCTCACAGTGACCATTTTTTAGCATAAATGTCTGTTTTTTTGTTTTGTTTTTAATACAAACTCAACTGCAACAGAGTCTTTGCTAGTGAGCTCTCTGGAAGTTGTGAACTAATTGTAGTGAATAATTCTGGAAGAAAAAAATATGTGAAATAACTAATAGACTGAGCAGAATAACATGTAACAGAATGATGGTGGGGAGATGGGGAACAGCATTCTTTTCTTTTTAGAGAAAAAAACAACAGGAAAATATAAGGAATCCTGGGAGAAGAGGCAGGTGTTTGTTTTATTATTAAGAAAAGCAACAATTTCGTGATTGAGTAGGAGTAAGAGAGCTCACAGAGTAAAATTCTGAAGAAGCAGAGTCAGGGATGTAGTATCTTTTCTTCTCTTTAATAGTTCTGGAAGCTAGAAAGGTTGAAACCAAAAATGAGTAATCTTGTCTAGAATAAAGGCGAGAAAGCCTTTGACACCAAGTATATACTAACAGGTTTTTTGAACAGATTTTTTTCTTACAGACAAATATAAGAACAAAATAAGAACTAAGAATGATAGTGATGAAAGTGACTTAATTCTTTATATTTTTCTCCATTCAGACCATCTTCTCTGCCTAGATTATCACTGGAGGCTCCTAACTGGCTTCTCTGCCGACTGGCCTTGCTCCCACCAATCCATACCATAAATTACAGACCACTAAAACTTCTTTTATCATAAATGCATGATCTGGTTCCTGTTTACCTCTCCAGCCTCATTTTCATCCTTCACACCCTGTCCCATCACCACTATCACCAAAATTGTGTACCAGTTCTCTCAGTTCTTCAAACACGCCACACTCTTTCTCATCTTGAGCCTTCATGTGTGTTTCTCTGCCTGAAAGACTCTTCCATTCCCTCAGCTGATTTGAATTCATTTTTTAGGACTCAGTTAATATGTTACTTACCCATGAAAACCTTCCTTAGTCATCAAGTTTGAGTGCTCCCATTAACATTGTTTGTCTTTGATTTAATACTTATCACACTATATTATTATTATTTTTTGATGTTTTGTTTCTGTTTGTTTGTTTGGTTGGTTGGTTGGTTGGTTGGTTGGTTGGTTGGTTTTGAGATGGATTCTCCCTGCAATAACCAGACTGAAGTGCAGTGGCACGGTCTCGGCTCACTGTAACTTCTGCTTCCCAGGTTCAAGCGATTCTCCTGCCTCAGCCTCCCAAATACCATAGCTGGGACTACAGGCACACACCACTAAGCCTGGCTAATTTTTTTCCTTTTAGTAGAGACAGGGTTTTACCATATTGGCCAGGCTGGTCTCAAATTCCTGACCTCAAGTGATCCGCCTGCCCTAGCCTCCCAAAATGCTGGGATTACAGGCGTAAACCACTGCACCCAGCCCTCACTGTATTATTATTGCATGTTTCATTTATATTACTATGCTGTAAGAATAGTTCAAAGACATTTCATTTTTCCTTTCTATACTAGATTATATGATACACTTCCTGCCACAGGATAGAGACTCAGTATAATACTTTCTACATTACTTAAGCTATGAAATATAGTAATAATGCTTTGCCTACTGTCTGAATTATGTACTAAATATACTATTGTTTTCTGGGTAAAATCTAGGTTACATTAATAGAAAACAAGGAATTATCATTAATTCGTGCTAAGAAGAGAAGTAATGAACTGGGTTTAAACAACATTTGGTTCATTCAAGCAAATATGGAGTATTTTACTGGGATGTTTAATATTGGAGTAAGTAATCGAGCAATTTTAATTTCTTTAATTAGCTAAATAGAAAAATTACATGCCTTAGCATAAATAAAAAAGATAATTTTGTGTTCTTTGCTAAACAAAGAAATTTATAATTTTGCATATTTATATTATCTATGAAGTATAGCATATTAATGAATATTATTTTATTCATAACACTTTATCGTAACATGATAGAGATAACATTGGCTCCTCTATCAGACCAGAAGTTTATTTTCTTCACTACAGAATCCCCAGTAGCAAGTGCTTAAAATTGGTTAATAATTGAATAATTGATTCTGATGAACATGACTTGCCTTAACTTATTCTGCATTTTTAGAAGACAATGCAGAATAAAGGAGGAAAAGAAAAAAGAAGAAAAGAAAAATAACTTGTTATAACCTCTGAATACAAGCATTGCCCTGTGATGTTTTTTAGCTAAGATTTTATATTTACATGTATTTTGAGGTTCCAAGAGAGAAAGTATATTGATCATGTTTCTAAACCCTTCCATCAAATTATTATTTAATATTATGAAAAATCCCTAAGATATGTAATTCTGCTTGATCATTAAACCCCAAAGTTTTATTCTTTCTTATAGAATTTGAGTTTTATAATGTGTTATTGTTGCTGCTATTTCTTGTATTTGCTTTAAATAATTTTTTTCTAATTTGATAGGAATATACATTTTGATAGTAATACAGAAAAACACATAATAATATAAAGAAGAAATAACCTATATGCTTACTATCAAGTGATAAATACTATCAAAAATCTTTACTTTTTATATATTTATGCATACATATACATGCAAATTTACACGTGTGGACATTGTGAAAACTATACTACATATATCCTGCATTGACTGAACACTATCATAAATCTTTTACCTACTTTTTAATCATTCTTTTTGTTGTTCTTATAATGCAATTATTACTATGATGGGTATTTTATGCATTCTTCAAGAATTTTGATACATTTGCCAAACCACTTTCCAGTAAGGTTCTTACTGACATCCTTTCTAATTATATATGTTCACATAAACATGGGGTTGTCTAGGTGGAACTTTCATCAGCTTAAGTAGTTCAGACCTTTTATAGCATTTCTGATTTTTATCCAGTGAAATTTATTTAAATATTGACTATTACAAATTTGGGGGTTTATTGTAAGTTTTTTCAACCTAAAAAATATAGGATTTGTTTCCTTTGTAGACATGATCTACAGTTTACGTCTCTTTATAATAAGCCTGGCTGTTAATAAAGAAATTCAGGAAAATGTAGACATGTGATCTAGAAAATTCAAATTAAAAATATACCTCTGCAGCTTAAATTTATATAAATGTTGAGGTAAAGTTTAGAGCTTCTCCCATGAAACAAGCCATTAAATCAGTCCAGATATTACTAGTACAACAGACAGAATGGTAGTAAGTAAATGTGTACTGCTACCCTTTACTTACCTCACAAAGCATGGAATTTTCACCCTGTGTCTGTTCCATCTGTCTCTTTGCCCTTTGTGACTTATAGATGCTAAATCACTCTAGCATATTCTTGTAACTTCCAAATGTATAATTTACTAATGCCAACTAAAAATGTATATGTCTTTTTGGAAGTGAAATTTTTCTTTACATTTCATAATACATCTATAATGACTTTTTTCCTTTCATAATTACTCTTGTCAAGTGTATAGAAAATGGATTAAAATTACTTAGAAGGTTAAATTAAAATTATTTATAAGAAGAAAATAATTTGCCTAGGAGAGTAACTGAGGTATTGTCACTAGGTAAACCAGACTAAATGCATCGGGGTTCTAACTCCTGTGTTATATGCATTCCAGTAAAAATAGTGTGGCTGTTCAGTAAAAAACACACACAAATATTTTAAAAATAGTGTGACAGGAAAGGAAATCAGAATAACCAGTTATTGGAAATACATTAAAATTGCATAAATTCATTGGTTTTGTGATATTTCAGTAAGGGCTTAGCATTTATCTTTGCATAGTAAATACTTTATTTTTTCCATTTACTATTTTTCTTTAGATATAAAAATAGTATGAACAAGAGTTTAAGGAAAGAATTTTAAAAGACTTAGAAACAACTACATCTTTAAATTATTAAATTTTATAATATATGTATCAATACCCATGATCTCAAACAATATTACAAATATTTATTCACAAATGGTATTACATATGACTATAGAAAAATGCTCATTTTGCATTAAAAACAAAAACTGTATCAAGGCTAAACAGGCTGCCCACCAACATGTATTAGTTGGAAACTTTCAGAAATAACAGTCATTTCAACCAGTTGATAAGGTACTGATTTTTAACAGTACTTGTGAATCTTTTCTATTCATCAACATATATATGAAAATCTCAAAACAGTTTTATTTTCTAGTTATTTGTATTTGCTTTTTGCTGTTTTGCCCACAACATAATTTTTAATTATTGTTTATGACTCATAAGTGCTGACTGCTTAATTATAAGCTCATTTATATTTATGAGGTAAGTCTGTTAGTGTACAATTAAAAGAAGCATGTGCAATTGAAGACTGTAATTAAGTAACACTTTTGATGAGTAATTATATAATCCTTGTTTTAAAAGATAAGGACCTCAAGAAATTATAAATTCTGCAAGCACACTATTAAAAACCACTAAAGCAAAATAATGGACTTCTAAGATGAAAATAGTAGACAGAGGTATTTCAACCCCATTTCTCCCCAAAAAAGATCAGATCCCCAAATAACAAGAATCAGAAAAATCAAACTCTATCTATAATGAAGCTATATTCAACGTTCTATAACTTGAATCACAATATGAAGTGTGAAGGTGAAAAGCAGACTAAAGAAAAATGGTAAGTTATTGAGTAGAGGAGACGGAAGATAAAATTTAAATGCATGATGGGTGGAGTGGCAAGAAGGCTCTCAGGTTGCAAGCCACTTTGCTCCCATAGAATCCCAGAAAAGTGTAGGAATTCAGGACATCAGAAATCTCAGAGGAAACGAATAGGGAGGGACTGAAATCATGTTTAATTTAAAATATTACTGAGATACAAGATTCCTGCTGTCATCTTGTCAAAACAAGAAACTACCTCTCTCCAGCTCCTGAGAGAGACTGGAAGTTTATTCTCTGAAGAAACTGAACCAGAGAGGCACCAAGTACAGAGAGATCAGGCACAGAGGAGGGCAATGGTGATGTGCCAGACTAAGAATAAGAACTAAATGAGAATCTGCATGCTGAAGGATTGATCTCTTCCGTACCCATCTGCCTTCTAATTCCAAAACCACGGAAACTAGGATCATTTCCACAATCATCAGGATTCAAAGATTCCCCTCTGTAGAAACAGAACTATTGCCAGAGAACAGATTCTACAGCTATAACAAAAAAAAAAAAAAAAAAAAAAAAAAAAAAGGCAGCTGTCTAGGCTTCTTGATCACCCAATCACTAGTGAAGCCCACCCATCACTAGTGAAGTTTCATTCAGAACTTCCAATCAACTTTTTAGTGGTTTACTCTTTAATATGGACAGCTAAAGTAATACCAAACATGAAAAACTTCCAAAATGGAAGATAGAGACTATATTAGTCTGTTCTCACACTGCTAATAAAGACATACCTGGCAACTGGGTAACTTATAAAGGAAAGAGGTTTAATTCATTCACAGTTCCACATGGGTAGAGAGGCCTCACAATCATGCAGGGAGGTGAATGAGGAGCAAAGTCATGTCTTACATGGCAGCAGGCAAGAGCGTGTGCAGGGGAACTCCCCTTTATAAAACCATCAGATCAGATCTCCTGATCTCACGAGATAGTGAGAACAGGATGGGAAAGACCTGCCCCCATCATTCAATTACCTTCCACAGGGTCCCTTCCACAACATGTGGGAAATATGGGAGCTACAATTCAAGATGGAATTTGGGTGGGGAAACAGCCAAACCATGTCAAGACCAATGCAACAAACATGATAAAGGGTCTTAATCAGGGAGAGGCTAGAGAATATAATACATTAGTGAAACAAGGATATAATAGAAAAAGAGGGAATGATCAGAGAACAAGAAGGGACTTCTTGAAAAATAAAAATATGTTAGCCAAAATTAAAAACAAATTAAAAATTAAGAGAGGTCTTTTTTAAAAGAAGAAATATAGGATATCACTTGAAAAAATAGAACTAAAAAGAAGAAATAGAAACTAGAAAGAAACACATTTTTTAAAATTAGAGATTTAGTCCAGGAATCAAATACCTCAGTAATAGCAGGACCAGAAAACAAAAACTGGTAAATGGTGAGGAGGAAAACATCAAAGAAAATATATAGGAAAATGTGTTAATAATTATGAATGCATTTCTCTTGATAAAGTTAACTTACAAAATGACCTAAGCCAAGGCACATTGTGAAATTTCAGGACACCAAGGGTGAACAGATATTCCCAACTCTTTCCACAGAGAGGAAAAAAATGATATACAATAATTTTGAATAGAAACAGTATCACACTTCTTAATAGTAGTGTGGAAGGCTAGATGACAGTGAAACAATACCTTGAAAATTCTGACAGAAAATTTCTAATCTGAAATTCCATGTCTAATAGTTAAAAAAAAAAAAGTAAAATAAAGTTCCATATAGTCAAGCTCTCAATAAGATGTACATTGTATGTACCCCTTTTCAGCAAGCTACTGGAAAATGTGGTTCATTAAAACAGAAAGTAAATAAGAAAAAGGAATCAGTGGTATCTAATACAAGAGAAAAATTATTAGTATCATGGGAGAGGGATGTATTAGGGCAAGAGCTGGGCAATAGGCCTCGAAGGCATTGAGTCCATATTTTAGTAAAAGGTCAGAAAGCCCAGGAAAGATGTCTCTAGGAAAGAAAAATGTAGCTGACCAATTATTTGAAAGTTTTCAGACAGTGGAAAATTATATGGTAGAGCATTTTACAGAGCTTTTGGGTAGGGAAAGGCTTGGATGTTAAAAAACGAACAGAAACCCTAATATCCAGCACACTTCCCTCAGCAGTGAACAGTATATACAAAGCCACGAGAAAAGGATGGGAAAGGGAAGAGAGTGTATAAATGTGCAAAAAAAACCAAAAAGCTCTTCTCTCATAGTAAAAAGATAATAAATAATGTCTAATATTTACAAATAAAGAGATATCAATATACATTCGTCATATAGAAAAACATTTTCAGGAAGTAAACCAATGTATTGAACAGCATTGACTTTGGTACACATATTTTCTTTCAGGGATGTGGCAGTGTGTACAAAAAAGAGACTTTTAATATAATTGTATATCTTTTAGCATTATTTAAATTTTAAAGGTGATTACCTATAATATTGTTGTATGAAAGTCTTAAAAAAAGGGGAACAAGAGTACATAATTGGGACTAGCCTGCTTCTCTTTCTAAGATATCTATAGTTAAGAATCCTCTTTGAAAAGCAATGCTTGAGAGAATGATTGGGCTGGGGCAAGTTTAGAGATCATTCAGTTCAACTTTCTCCTTTTACAAGTAGAGAATTTGAAGCTACAAAAAAGGAAGATTGACGTAGCAAGTCAATGTGAGAGCTGGGAAGTCCAGGCAGTGACTCCCTGTTTACTTCCCATGTCTAAAGAAAGGAGTAAATAGGAGCATAGAGAACTAGAAAAAAGAAGCTGGTTTGGAGTTAGACAGATTGAGTTTAAATCTTGGCTCTTTGTGAAAAAAAAAATTCACAATTATTTTTCTTACTTGGAGCCATATTGACCAACTTTTGTTTAAGGACTACTTTGTTTGTTTTTGTTTGTGTGTTCACATCTCTTACTCATTTTACTCTCACTTTATTGGGCTGCTTCTTTCCTTTTAGAAGTTTGTTATATATTAAGGATGTAAACCTTTTATTTGTGCTATAAGTTGTCAATCTTTTCCCTACTTTGTCATTTGTCTTTTTACTTACGGTTTTTGATTTTCTACCAGTCTCTACTAAAAATACAAAAATTAGCTGGATGTAGTAGCAAGCACCTGTAATCCCAGCTATTTAGGAGGCTGAGGCAGGAGAATTGCTTGAACCTGGGAGGGGAGGTTGTGGTGAGCCGAGATTGTGCCACTGCACTCCAATCCAGCCTGGGCGACAAGATTGTGTCTCAATCAATCAATCAATATTTTGTCAGATTTATTAACCTTACCCCTTATTGCATGTAGATTTTTAGCTATAGTTGGGAAGTACTTCCCCTTGGTTGTACAGGAATTTACTCCTGTCATATGTATTGCATTTTAAATCTCTAATGCATTCAGGAAGAAAAGATCTAATTTTTATTTTTTATATGACTATCTGGTTAACCAAACATCACTCATTAAAAAGTCCATCCTTTCTCCCCCGGTTTGAAATACCGCCTTTATTGTATGATAAATTTACATATCAAAGGATTTTATTGTACTGTATCTCTCTTATTTCCCTTTATTTCTGAATTTCATTTGATAACAGTGAAAACTAGGAGTATGTGATGCAATAAGACCTTGTACACCAAAAACCTATTATTAGTAGACAATTATTACATTATCTATAAACTATTGTGTAAATAGTTCTTCAAGTTATTTTGTTTAAATGAAGGAAATAAACTCACTTTTTTGCATGTAGCAAAAGGAATGTGAACTTAACTAAAGAGAGACTTATAAAAGTAAATTGTCTAAACTCTTTTTTGCTCAGAGCCTGAAGAGGGTTTTGTGGAGAAGCAGCCTGATGCGATTAATGCAGGGGGTCAGACTTTGAGGTCAGCATCCTGCCCCTCAGTAGCTGTTTTGTTGTGAGCAAGTTCTTAATTTCCCAAGACTTCTTTCCTTACTTCTAAAATGGAGATAATAAAGTCTTTCAAGGATGTTGTGATCACAGTTCTGAGTGCCATCATTCAGCATAGCATAGTGCCAGCACATAAAAGACACTCAGTAAATGTCAGTTCCCTTTCCCTCCAGGGGAAGATGCGTCTATAATTTTTACTATAAAATTTTCTCCAGCTAGTCATGAAAATAAGGATTAGCCTGTTTTTTACTCTGAAAAGCTAAGTAAAAGGAGCAGATGAGAAATCAAGGTTATTTACTTTCCCATTCCATGTCGTTGTTGCTGCTTTCACTGGATAGCAGCCTTCCTAGGCTGTTTTCAGAGTGAAACAGGAAAAGTGGGATGACAGCATCATGGAGATTGTTGACTTCTATTTGGCCCATGTAAGTCTAGAAAGAGGGGGAGAAATTCAGGAGGAGGATTAAGAACAGGGATCTTCCTTTCCTCTTCCTAATATAGTATTGTTGTTAGCTTTCCTGTTCAAAGGGGAATCTGGCTTATAATATTTTACTTTTGCTGGGCACAGTGGCTCACGCCTGTAATCCCAGCACTTTGGGAGGCCAAGGCGGGTGGATCACCTGAGGTCGGGAGTTCGAGACCAACTTGATCAACATGGAGAAACCCTGTCTCTACTAAAAATACAAAATTAGGTGGGGTGGTGGCACATGCCGGTAGTCCCAGCGACTCAGAAGGCTAAGGCTGGAGAGTCGCTTGAATCCAAGAGGCGGAGGTTGTGGTGATCCAAGATTGTGCCATTACACTCTAGCCTGGGCAACAAGAGCAAAACTCCTTCTCAAAAAAATATATATTTTACTTTCCAGAATTTACAGAAAATCTCCCTTTTACCCTGAGAGCCCCTCCCAACCCTGAAATTGGTGAGGGAAAATTATAATTCATTACAATTTGTGTCTGTTCAGAATGAAATGGAGATGTGAGCATCTTTTTTTTTTTTTTTTTTTGGCAAAATCCAGTAAAGGTTATTCATCTTTTAGAATCCCCACATCTGATTTTCATTCAGAGTCCTATTTAGGCTTTATTTGGCCTAAGAATTTCCATAATTATCTCATTCTTAGTAATACTGTAGTAAGTATAATATAGTAAGTATAGATATATTTAAGGAGATGTGTTTTTAAAACATTAAATCATATTTAGAGTTATTTTTATTTTCATGAATTATTGAAGCCCCACTCATTATTGTAATTCATAATTTCATTCATTCCTTTTAAAATAAACTCATTGAAAATAGTTCCTGTAACTCATCATTCAATGTTAAGGATTGTTATGTGAAAATATCTTGAAAGGCACATGAATATGATTCAGTCAGTTTTAATGCAGCCCTGATTAGATTATATGCATATGGCACTTGAGGAAGTGTTTTCAAATACATTTTTATTTAATTTTTGCAACAGCATTGTGATATGTCAGTATTGTTAACCATAATTTATTGTTGAAGAGATTAAGGCCCAAAGAAGCTACATTTAAAGTGGCTCAGGGCTACACAGCCCGCCAGAGTAGCAGACCTGAAATTCTCATTTCAAATCTAGTGTTCTACAATACTATAGTTTAGATATCCATATGTGTTAATTTTTCCACACTAAAATTGCATCAAATTTTCCATTAAATGAATCTTATGCTTTATTTGCAATATTCTATTTGCAGTCTTTCAATCTTGCTTAATTTTTTTAATTTAAATGTATAGCTAAGTAATCCTTTGGCATGAACAAATGAGAACTATTTAAAAGCACGAAAATTGCACCGTGAGTTAAGTGGGAACTTAGTGCTAAGGCCTGGTTTTATTTTCCAGGTGGCGTTGCATGCTTGTGGAGTGGCAACAGACATGGTGATTGAGCACTGTATCAAAACACGGGCTTCCTTCGTCACATGCCCTTGCTGTTATGGTTTCATTCAGAACACCTCAAAGTTTAATTTTCCAAAAAGGTGAGAAATTCAGTGTTATACCTAAGACACCAACATGGGTGTAAGCCAGGACGCAAAACTTGTTTGATATGAAGTTGCAATGAGATTTCATTTTGAGCTCATTTCTTTTTTCCACAATGCCAAATATTGTTTATAAATTGTACAAGGAAGAGAAGAACTCCTTTGTGTTTGTCCCTGATTTTTCTCCTGGATCCAGTTTTTGCTGAAATTAAGAAGCAAGGCTATCCAGGAGTCAGCCAACTAGAAGTCTATCAGCTTTAGCACTTATCTCTGTTTTTCTAAATAAAATTAAAACTATAATCATAATATCTTTGAGAGGCAGTCGAGTATAGTAAAGTGTTTAGGAGCTGGAAGTATAGTGCCTGGGGGAAAATACTAGCTCCTTATCATTGTATAAGTTGTTTCACCTCAGGCAAATTACTTAAACTCTTTTTGTCTTAGTTGTATCATCTACAAAATGAGGGTTATGGTAATAACTACGTCAAGGTTTTTGTGAAAATTTAGTGATATGTGTAAAGCCTTTAGAAGCAGCAAGAGTAACTCAATAAATGTGAACTGTTGCTAATAACAGTAGTAATGTCAAAAGATCCTTGGGGCATCGCTTTGCCAGCTGGAACCTCTGTGGCTGGTGGCACCTTTGCCCAAGTTTTACTTAGGCCCACTGGGCTCGTTCCACTCACTCAGCTTGGCAGGCTGCTCTTGGCTCACACTGCTGGCCCAGATTCCACACCTGCCTAGTGCAAGTAAGGTACAAAGTGGTGAGGGGTGCATGAGTGAGCAAGCACAGGGTCCAGCCACTGCATACAGCCAGATATGCTGGCTGCTGCGGGGCAGGCATCTCCAGGCAACAGCATGGGTGCTGGCTCCCTGCAACGCTGCAGCTGGACCAGGTGTACTGCAAGCAGCTTCCACCGTGAGCACTAGGGAACACGGTGGCCTCCCAGAAGCTTGAAAATACCAGGAGCCACAGAGTCACTGTCACAGTCCTGGCTCGGGGAGCTTCTGTGTCTGGTCTCCCCAAAGGGCCACCTCTCTTTCCTTCTCCCTTCTCTCCTCATGCTTGCAACATGGCAAGTGGGTGTGTTTAGGGGCGGGGAGGGTGTTTCAGCCCTGTTTGTGTTATAGCTCTTTTAGTCCTGCCATTTAGCAGGTCCTGAGTTCTTGTCCCACAACCAGGATGAATGAGGTACACAGAAAACTGCAGGATGAGTGAGGCAAAGAGGTGCTTTATTGAGCAGCAGTACAGTTCTCAGGAGATGCAAAGTGGGTAGCTCCTCTCCACAGACAGGTCATCCTGATGTCCACTCAGCTCTCAGCTGAGAGGAGACCCACAGAGGGTAGCTTCTCTCTACAGGCAAGTCACTCCAGTGTCTGCCCAGCTCTCAGCAGAGAGGAGATCCACAGTGAGTAGTTCCTCTCTGCAGGCAGGTCATCCTGACCTCTGCTTAGCTCTTAGGTGGAAGGAGACCCACAATGGGTAGCTGCTGTCTGCAAGCAGGTCATCTCATCATCTCTGCAACCCTCAGCAGAGAGGAAACCCAGAGTGGGTAGCTTTTCTTTACAGGCAGGTCGTCCATTGTCTCCCAAATCTGGCAGAGTCCAGAGTTTTTATGGACTTCAGCAGGGAGGAAGTGTATGCTGATTGGCCCATGAGCCGCCCTGGGTGGGCCTGGAAAAAAGCACTATAAGTTTTCTTTTTGCTACATGGAGCTGGCAGCTTGGGCCCCAGGCTTTGGACCATTCCTAGGTTGATGGTGGGGCTTCACGGGGGACCCACCCCTTTCCACCCAGGAGCCTGTTTGCCTCCTGTTGCCATCAACCTGCTATCCATGGCCCATAGCACCCAGGCTGTTTGTGCCAAGGGGTGCCTGCAGGCCCATGTCAAGCTGCCCTCAGTGCCCCCTTGCCCACCTTCCTCCCATTCTCATCGGCGCCCAAAGTCAAGAGGAGGCTGAGGCAGAGGGGGCTGGCATGTCAGCACCACTTTGAGTACATGTACACCTGGCCGGGTCACTACTGCACCTGGGCTCAACCTCAACTTTGCTCTGAAACTGGGGCAGGCACTGGGAGTGAGGAGAAGTCAGGCAGTGGGAGCAAGCACTTCTGAGCCTGCAGAGGCAGGATGGCTCACTGGGCTCCTGAGACTGTGGAGATGCCCAGGTCTTCAGCCATGGATGAGCAGCTGCAGCTGTGTCTGGGAGGGCGGAGTTCCCACCAGCTCCATGGAGTGTGCAGCCCCAGGCACACCTCCCCCACTGCAGCCAGTGTCATGGCAGTGGCCACTCCACATGGGCTACCGCTACCATTAATCCCCCCTCTGAAGAGGTACCTTTAACTGCAGTTAGGATAGGGATGATGACTGTTCTTAACTGCTTCATGCTGATAGGGAGCGTTGTTTTGGGGAAAATGGCAGTCAGATCTCTCTCAGAGGCCCAAGGGTCCCTGATAAAAAGGGAGCCATTGTTTGAGGCTCCAGTTGTATGGCTGCTTAGAGTTTGATGGCCTCTAGGTAAGAAGAAACAATTTTACAAGGAGGTTAAGTATGTGAAGGAAAACATCTAGTGCCAAAGATAACAGAAGTAACTTTAAAAAAGAAATAATAATAAATTTATAGGAGTAGATAAATCTCTTGGGAGTTCAGGATTAAGGGATACTTGATAAAGGTGCATTTCATGAGGAACAGAACAAAAGTGAGAACAGTAAGCATAAGATATCTGTGGAGGGTTAATTGTTGAGCACTTATCTTTTGTGATTGTTAGCTTGAGGTTCCTGATTTCTTCACTCCAGTACTTTGGGTGCTCTCCTGGGTCAACAGAGGTAATTTTGTCAGTTCCCCAAGCCTTTATTCAAGTGTAATGAATCCAAGAATCTATTCCAGTGACATTTACTGCAATGGGAGTAGAAAGAAATACAGTCTAAGGTCCCCACCCTAGTCCAGGCCTAGAGAGGAAGAAAGAGAAGGAAGAACCCCTCCAAGTACTAGGTCCCCTGGGTTGAATAGAGGTGTCCCTAGTTCTCGGGATTGGGCCTCCGATTGTTATTTCTGTTCCTGTTAGAAACAGGCCAAAGAAGTTACGTGTTTAGTAAATCAGAGGTTTCTTGGTATAGCAGGAAATCATTGATGAGAAAAGACTGTCCATACATCATTTCAAAGAGACTTAAACCCAGCTTTGAAGGGGTGTTTCTAACACTTAGTAGGGCTACGCAGAGAAGAGTAATCTGGGAGAGATGAGTATCTTGAGACAGTTTTCTGAGGTACCTTTTGATAATAATATTTGTCTTTTCTACCTTTCCTGAGGATTGTGGTCTCCAATCACAGTGAAGATGGTATTGTATGCCTAGTGCCTCTGAGACCCCCACCCCACCCCTCTACCTACTGGCCGACAGCTGCCTTGAATGAGGTGCCATTATCACTCTGGAGATACGTAGGAAGTCCAAAATGAGGAGTTATTTCATTAATTAGTACTTGTATCACCTCAGAAGCTTTCTCTGTTTGACATGGAACTGCTTCTACCCAGTTAGTGAATGTATCTACCCATGCTAGGAGGTACGGGATGCCCCTTGTCTTTGGCATATAGGTGAAATCCATTTGCCTATCTGCACCTGGGTAGCCTCTCCCATTCTTTGGGTTCTAATGGGGGAAGCCATCAATTGAGGGGATTATTTTTAAGGCAAGTCCCACAAGAATCAACAACTTGTTTGACCATCTTTAGCAGATTTTTACCTGAGAAAAAGCTTTGGACCACTTTATCCTTACCTAGGTGGAAGGGTTGGTGGAGGATTTTAAGAACTTTCCATTGGTTGGAAGCTGGTAGATGGAGCTTGCTGTCCTCCAATTGTAGCCATCCTGAGGACTCAAGTGTGTATCCTAGAGAGGTAGACTATTCTATCTCCATGGAGGAATACTGAGGTTTTCTTTCTTTCATGAAGCCCTCCCAGATCAGAGGGGCCTCAACTGGACCAAAAATCTGGGGCCTTCTTGCTGTTGATTTAGCTGCTTGGGCTGCCAACATATTTTCTTTGGCTATTTTATCCATCCCCTTCTCCCTTCTGGTGGCCTTGACAGTACATTACTACCACTTCCTGTCTTTTTCACACCTTTTTTTTTTTTTTTTTACATTATTCCTCCCTTGTCCTTTGATATCTTTAGAAAGCTTATTTGTGAATAAGACCTGTCTCAATCACCAAAAACAGATTTGGGAATTTATAAATAGCATACTGTTTCTACAGTACATGGAAAGAAGTACTCATTTCAAACAAACTAATTGGCACTAATGAATTTAGCATCATATTTATAAGTCTATGTTTTTGATTGACTTAAGAGTAAAGGCTATAGCATTAATAAAAGATAATGTTTATCAAATGTATCTTTATCTTTATTAGCTGTGACAACAGCGATTTCCTGACATATTAATCATGCCTTTTTATATTTTCATATGTTTTATTGTTTACTGATCCTGGAGAGACTGTTCCTCCCAGGGCTAGCCAGTTCCTATAGATAGTAAAGGTTTTATCAACAAGCATACCTTGCATAAGCAAAGCAACCAACCCAGAGCCCTTACCCCACAAGTACTTCCTTTATCAAGCTCTTTTTCCAGGCCAGCATCCCCCTGCCCAACTACTGTAGGCCAGATACCAAACAAGTAGGAATAGCCCTATGCCTGAGTTCACAGAAATTATTCAAACCAGCCACTCCCAAGTTTGCTTACCTCACCTGTCTCTTCCCATGGAAATCTCTGCCTCCTGACCTATACTGGTGTTTCCCCAAGTGGCCCTTTGTCACATTGCATGCCCCCTCTTCTTGGGGAACTGTGAGTGATAAAGTATCTTTTCAGTGGCAGCCCTCTCATGATCTATTGGCTGTGCCACACCTGAATAACAGTAAAACCCACATGTTTAACCACATGGATCTGGGTGTTCCCAAGAGGGGAAGAGAAAAAAGATGCTTCTCTAACAGTGTAAACAATCTGTGAAATAGATTTATTAAAATTAATAACATACTGATGATACGCTTTTCTATCTTTTTATAAAAGCATTTCAAACTGGCATAGTTTTTACTTCAGCATAGCATTTTATGCTTTTACATACAAAACATATTTTTATTTATAGTTTAGTTTCTTCAAGATTATTTTACTCTTAATAGTATTTAAAATGATGACTAATTCCTTTTTTTTTCTATTTCAGTGAACAATTCAAGAAAACTTTATCATACAAGGTAACCTTAAAAAGATCTAGATGTCACCCTAATACACTTTTTATCCTTTGTATTTCTTACTCTCATATTTCTAGTGGAGTAAATATAGTTATAACTGAATAACGCATGAATGTCTAATATGGCTTGCTTTTGCAAATCCAGATTAACTATTAAAGTAGGTAACAATATTTGTGAAGGGTCTGAGATTTTAACTCTACTTACAGTCTAACAAGTTAGCCTGCCAGAGGATGCTGGCAGAAGATATGAGACCCCTGAGTCAGAGACAGAAGACAATTTGTTGCTCATGGCAATAGTGGTAGCCACAATACCATTGTTTTAACACTGACTCTCTGCTGTCCAGTTTCCACAGGGCAGAAGCAAATGGGCCAGGTAATACCTGCCCTTTTGTTCCAGAGGGAGATAATATGTATTTTCCAAGGCTGTTTACTCTGCAAACATGCTTGAGAAGATAATCTAGAACAGACAAAAATTCTTTTGTAAAAGGCCAGATAGTAAATACTTTAGGCTACGCTGGCCACAACGAATCTCCCAGTATTCTTCTTCATTGTCCTTGACATTCTTATTGTTTTTGTTGGTGGTGGTTTACAACTCTTTAAAAATATAAAAACTTCCTTAACTCACAAACAATGCAAAAACTGGGCATAGGCTGAATTTGGCCTGTGGGCCGTACCTCGCTAACTACTGGTCTAGAACAAAGACACTCAGTGTCTTTCCTTGTAAAACATGAAGAAACACAAGAGACCCATGTAGAATTGTCTTTCAAAAGTAGTCAGAACATATATAGTTTTTAGTCACCAATCTGATCAAAACAGTTTCTAGCTTCCTATACATCACCACTATCAAATATTTAACTGGTCAATAGCATGATATAATAACAGTTTAAGAAATTATAATATTTAAGAAAAATATATAAATAATTCCATTAGAAGTTGATAAATTCGGGAGAGAGATCCAAGATGGCTGATCACTAGCAGCTCAGGATTGTAGCTACCAGTGAAAGCGCAGAGAACAAGAGGATGCCACACTTTCAGATAAATTTTTGTTGCTCATGCACCAGGAGATTTCCAGTGGAGGAGCCCCACGGGTCGACAGCCTGACTTTTGTGGCCAGCGAGGCAGTTTTGCCACTGCCTTGCTGCGGCGGTTCTTGGTGCAGAGTCAGAAAAGCACCATCAATCTTAACGCCGCTGTTTTGGCCAGCGCAGTGGGTTGCTCAGATTTTAGCGCTGGGAATCAACAAGTTGGACGTCCACTCAGAAACCAAATTATAAAGATAGTAACTATAAAGACCACAGATGGATAAATTTATAACGAAGGGAAGAAACCAGCCTAAAAAGGCTGAGAATACCCAAAATCAGAAGGCCTCTCCCTCTACAGGGGATCACAGTTCCTCATCAGCAACGGAACAAGGCCTGATGGAGAACGAGTGTGTTCCATTAACAGAAGCAGGCTTCAAAAGGTGGATGATAAGAAACTTCAGTGAATTAAAAGAACTTGTTCTAACCCATTGCAAAGAAACTAAGAACTTTGAAAAAAAGGTTTGACAAAATGTTAACAAGAATACACAATTTAGAGAGGAATATAAGTGAATTAATGGAGCTGAAAAACACGAGAACTTCGCGAACTATGCACAAGTTTTAACAGCCGAATCGATCAAGCAGAAGAAAAGATATCAGAGGTCGAAGACCAACTTAATGAAATAAAATGAGAAGACAAGATTAGAGAAAAAAGTATAAAAAGGAACGAGCAAAGTCTCCAAGAAATATGGGACTATGTGGAAAGACCTAATCTACGCTTGATAGGTGTACCTGAATGTGACAAAGAGAATCAATCCAAGCTGGAAAATACGCTTCAGGATATTATTCAGGAAAACTTTCCCAACCTAGCAAGGCAGGACAATATTCAACTCCAGGAAATACAGAGAACACCACAAAAATATTCCTCAAGAAGACCAACCTCAAGGCACATAATCGCCAGATTCACCAGGGTTGAAATGAAAGAGAAAATACTGAGGGCAGCCAGAGAGAAAGGTCAGGTTACCCATAAAGGGAAGCCCATCAGACTCACAGCAGATCTCTCAGTAGAAACCCTACAAGCCAGAAGAGAGTAGGGGACAATATTCAACACCCTTAAAGAAAAGAATTTTCAATCCAGAATTTTGCATCCAGCCAAACTAAGCTTCATAAGCAAAGGAAAAATACTTTTGTGAATAAGCAAGCACTCAGCGATTTCATCACCACCAGGCCTGCTTTACAAGAGCTTCTGAAAGAACCACTATGCATAGAAAGGAACAACCAGTATCAGCCTTTCTAAAAAATACCAAAAAGTAAAGAGCATCAACATAATCAAGAATTTACATCAACTAATGGGCAAAACAGCCAGCTCACATTAAATGGCAGTATTAAACTCACATATATTATTATTAATTCTAAATTTCAATCGACTAAATCCCCCAATCTAAAGACATAGACAAGCCAAAAAAGCCAAAACCCATGGGTATGCTGCATCCAGACCCATCTGACATGCAAGGATACACAAAGACTCAAAACAAACAGATGGAGAAAGATTTACCAACCAAATGGAGAGCATAAATAAATAAATAAATAAATAAGCAGGAGTTGCTTTAAAGCAACAAAGATCGAAAGAAGCAAAGAAGGATATTACATAATGACAAAAGGATCAATGCAACAAGAAGAGCTAAAGATCCTAAATTTATACGCACCCAATACAGGAATACCCAGATATATAAGACTTATAAAGAGACTTAGACTCCCACACAATAATAGTGGGAGACTTCAACATCAATATTAGACAAATCAGTGAGACAGAAAATTAATAACGATATCCAGGTTTTGAACTCAGATCTGGAACAAGTAAACTTAATTAAAATTTATAGAACTCTCCATTTTAAATACACAAAATATACACTCTTATCAGTACCACATCACACCTATTTACAGGTTTAAATGAAATATTGATTGGCTGCTTGTTTGTTATTTTCTTCCCTCATTTTTTTTTTTCATGTCTCTATTATTAAGCACAATTATAGGCATACCCATTTTTAGACTGCATTCTAGCCCAGGCAATGAAGCAACACCCCCGTTTCTCTCCCTCTTCCTTCCTCTCTTTCATTCTTTTTTTTTAATTCTTTTTTTTTTCATTTTTTTTTACTTTTTTTCTTTTTTAAAAAAATTAAAAAATAAAAATTTAAAAAAAGAAGTTGATAAATTCATTTGGATTCTTAGTTAATGCCACTTTTTGCACAGACTCACTAAAGATGTAGTCTCATTTTGCATACCAGCCGCTATATTTTAGGACTTTTACTTTCTCCTCCATCAAACAATTGAAATATAGTAAGGTATAGTGACCTAAAAAGTTCGTTGCAACCACCTCAGCAGCTATATCTCCTTCATCCCTGATTTATAACTCTTAAAATGCTCACTTCCAGCTCTGTCTCTTACCACCTTACGTGCTACCCACATCTACCCCCCTTCCTACCATCCCTGCACCCTATACAAATGTACACATATATGGAGAGGTATGGTGAAAGGAGGACTTCTAGTGTTCGTGCTTTCAGCCAAAACTACAACATTGCTGGCCTTTGCCTACTAGATTACAAAGTGTACATATTTTAGGAAACTATATAATTCTAGAGGAAGCATTAGGACCCAAGAACTTTTATTTACATAACATTCAAAACATCTCACCTTTCTCTCACAAGGCTATGCCAATAAATTAGAAAATAAATTGGGATAACAGGCCAAGCTAAGTGGCTCAAGCCTTTAATCTCAGCATTCTGGGAGGCTGAGGCAGGCAGATCACTTGAGAACAGAATTTGAGACCAGCCTGACCAACATGGTGAAACCTCATCTAACAAGGTAGTCTGCCAGTTGATCCTGGCAGAAGATATTAGACCCCTAATAATAATTCTAATTATCCTTTGGGAGGCTAAGGCACACGAATCGCTTGAGCCTGGGAGGCAGAATTTGCAGTGAGCTGAGACTGCACCACTGCACTCCAGCCCGGGTGACAGAGTGACACTGTCTCAAGAAAAAAAACAAAAGAAATTGGGAAAACAAAACTAGACCCCTGTTTCTGATCCCTCTTTGAGTGATGTTAGTTAAACCAAACAATGAGAGTATGTATGGAAAAAAATCAAAGGTGGTAAGGAGATAGGCTGTCCATGGGCTCCTAGCTAGAAAATAATGTAAAATTTCTACAGTGGGGATGAGGCATACAAAATCTTTTAGAAAGCAGAAACTCCCCAGTGCACCAGTCATAACCTTTATCTACTCTTTCTCCAACATCCCCCAAAACTGCTTGGACTTTTGAAGGTCTCAGAACTTTGTGCCCAGATACCTTGAGAGTCACTCTGGAAGTGTTTTTCTCTACAGTTCAATTTAGACAGCAACCTTTACTGAGTACTAACCATGTGCCTTGCCCTTTCAGAACTTGATTTTGACTAAAGGGAACATGCACACAAATAATTCCAATAAAAAATGGTGAGACTTATCAGTACAAGAGAACTGAATCTTATGTGAGATTATAATTCACTTGATATTACCATTATATAAAATGAATTTTAATTTACAAACACCATGAGGACAAAGTGCATACTTTTTCTTCAAGTCATGTAATTCTAAATTATCCTTCTCTCCCTTCATTGATGCCTGTTAGTTTGTGGGGACTTAAAGTTATTAATTCAAACTATTTTATTAGTTTCCCACCCATTGTCATGAAATTTTATAGTGAGCATTAAAGTGTTTTTTTAAAAAAAGCATAAAAGTTGAGACAAAGATATCCCTTTTTAAAAAACCAACATTGCCACAATCATTTCACTTATTAAAAATGGAGGCTTCAAATGTAATGTACAGAATACTAAAGGAACAATTGATGAATCTGAGTTTAACCTGTTTGCTAAGCTGACAGGTGACATCATGTACATGCTTAGAAACGACAGCTGTTCTGAATGAACAGTTGTCAAGGGATCATTGCTTCATTTCCACTCTGCCTAATCACTCACTTTTGGCTACATGCAGATTTAAAAGTACTGTGCAAAATCATCAACTCTGTGCTTTTAAAGCCTTCTTTTCTTTTTGATTAATATACTCTCTCCTAAAATTGTTAAGCAGTAGTAATAATCACGTCTTGCCCTCAGGCCATCTTTACAGTTTGTCTTAAAGCAGAAAGGGATACACTTCCTGCAGCCTTTTAGAGTGAGAGGAGGAGATTCAGGCTTCTCTCCTCTAAAAGGACTGAGTGAAGGGAAGAGTCGGGAAAAATCAAGAACTAACTAGCACCCTGCTGGATATACCAGAGAATTACAGAAGCCACACAGTGATCTGCATTGCTTCCTTTTCCTCTGATAAAATGAAAAGCCACTTAGCAGGCCACATGTGATGGCTCACGCCTATAATCCCAGCACTTTGGAACACCAAGGCAGGAGGATCACAAGGTCAAGAGTTCAAGACCACCCTGGCCAACATGATGAAACACCATCTCTACTGAAAAAAAAAAAAAAATTAGTGGGGCATAGTGGTGTGCACCTGTAGTCCCAGCTACTTGGAAGGCTAAGGCAGGAGAATGACTTGAACCCAGGAGGCAGAGGTTGTAGTGAACCGAGATCGCGCCATTGCACTCCAGCCTGGGCGACAGAGCAAGACTCCATTTCAGAAAAAAAGAAAGAAAGAAAGAAAAGCCACTTAGTAAGACTGCCTGGAGCGACGTTCCAGAGTTTCAAATACATTTTGTAATAAGTAAATTTTAGGTATTTTAATTTAACACATTTTACAGTAATAGCAAAATATAACCATATTTTTATATTTCAGCTAAAAGCAACTGGGCAAAATGTCTCTGAGAATTTTCTGTGTATCTGTTCTTAAGAACTACATCTGGGCCAGGCATGGTGGCTCATGCCTGTAATACCAGCATTTTGGAAGGCTGAGGTGGGTGGATCGCTTGAGGCCAGTAGTTCAAGACCAGCCTGGCCAACATGGTGAAACCCTGTCTCTACTTAAAAAAAAAAAAAAAAAAATTAGCCAGGTGCAGTGGCACGTACCTGTAGTTCCAACTATATGGGAGGCTGAAGCATGAGCATCACTTGAGTCTGGGAGGCAAAGATTGCAGTGAGCTGAGATCACGCCACTGCACTCCAGCCTGGCGATGGCGAGACTCTGTTTCAAAACAAAACAAAAAAACACAGTGTATCTGAAGGAAAGAAATTATTAAGTACCATTTTCTGAAAGTTTACTTTTTTCAAAAGTGCTATTTGTGTAGTACTTTATTCAGTTAAACAATGTTGAACTCCAGAAAAATGAGGTAGCTTTTTGGTTGTTGTTTTTGCAACTTTGAAGCAGAAGATAAAAATAAACCTACATCCTATTGCTTTTTCTTTTAGGAACACATGATTCTGTGCAGATTTGCAGACCAGACAGCTGCCCAGCTCCCACCCCAACGAAGGCTCATAGGTATGTGTTTTCATAGAGCAGCTGTTGAGTATATTATGCATAATGTGACTGTGAATGATTGGACCAAGTCTATATGGGAAAAATTTATCAACAAGAAGTCTATTTTTCAATGAGAAACTAAATATATTCTTCCCCAAAAATTCATATTGAAAAGGGTTTTGTAACTATAACATTTTATCCTATTTTGGTTAACTTTAATAATTTTGAATATATTTTCAATGTTTGTAATTTGAGTAGAATTCTTAGGTTAAATCTTTCTTACCGTTACGAACAAACTGCAAGATCTATCTAAAGCCACAAAAGAAAATACTAAAGATGAAAAAGTTAACTATATATGCCAAAATTGGTGCATTATACAGTGTATACACAAGGATGATAATGTTTTCTTTCTCAGGAAAGAGGATACTTATGTATTATTTATCATAGACCAATTTATTTGACATTTGCAGTATTAAACATTACCTAAATTGGAAGACTACAGAAGCATTTCAAGTTTAATAAGTAATTGATTGATTGAAGACTCACTTTAGAAAAAGAAATCACATTTAAAAGAATAATAGCAGTTAATAGTTACATTTAAGCACTGAGCTAAATGCTCTCACCTGTTATCTCAGAAGATTCTTACAAATATACATATGGGGTAGGTACTATTATTTACATTTTAATGATAAGAAAACGGAGACAAAAGCTTGCCTGGGGTCCTTCATCTAGTAGATGATGGAGCTATGCTATGAACCCAAATTATTTGATTCTGGACATGAAGTTCTTGTCCATTTTAGTTACTGCTTCCCAGCATACTGGTGTCACATCAGAGTTTAAGAAAAATGGGTTCGGTCAAAACTAATCTTAAAATTATTCAGAGAAGCCCAACATTGGACACCATCATATTTTTTCTCTAAATTTCCAGTGTAGCCCCTTTTCCTTCATGGTATACTAGAAAACAGATTGTTGTTTCTTTGGCTGAGCACCAGATGCAGCTTACATTCAGAGACCAAGTTGTATGAGAAATCATTATCTTTAAAATCAGAGGCAGCATAGCAAGATGCTCACACTTGGAGAAACACGTGGGATCTGAGACTGAGGGAGTAAGTGATTTCCTTCTCTTTCTCACTCTCTGCAGCATAAACGTTTGGAAAGGACTCATTCTCTTCTTCCTACAACCTCTTTGTCTTTCAATGCCTTTCCTTCTTGCTCCTCCTTTTCCCATCACTAGCACTTTGAATTAATCAAATATATATTTGAAGAGATTCCACTGACTAGACCCATGTCTTAGTCTGTTTTGCACTGCTATACAACATAATACCATAAACTCAGTAATTTGTAATGAACAAACATTTATTTGGCTCACATTTCTGAAGGCTAGGAAGTCCAAGATCAAGGGGCTGGCATCTGGTAGGGTCTTCTTCCTGCATCATAACATGATAAAAGCAACACATGGTGAAGGAGAGAGCAAGAGAAGGCTGAATGTGTCCTTTTATAAGGAACCCACACTCTAGATAATGAACGATGATAATGGTATTCATTCATTCACTCCACCCTCTTGGCCTAATTACCTCAAATGATAGAAATCCAGTGAAGACATAATTAATATGGTAGATGGATGGGTACATGGTAGATGTGTGTTTTAGGTATCAAATTAAAGGGGAATGGCTGAAAGGGAAATTGCTAGAGTAGCGGGGAGCATTTGGCAATGGGAAGAATGGGGGGAATCACATTGAGAGAAAGCTGTCACATGTCTACATCTCTGCTTTACACAGGCCATTCCTGTGTTCTGTGAACATTTTTAGGAAACTCCCCAGGCCCACAAAGGTAGACTACCAGCAGCTAAATTTCAATTGTAGACACTTCAACATGTTGAAGCATGAAATTCTTCTACATAATGGAAAAGGAAAAATTAACCGGACTGGGATCAAAGCCAAGGGTAAATGAGCTGCAATGTAAACCCGGGGTGGGTACTAAAGGAATGTAGAGCATCCCATTCTGACAGATAATGTTTCATTTTAAACTAAAAAGTAGATAGGAGAAACCTTTACAGATGTCTTAAAGGAAAGACAGTATTTTATGGGCAAAAAAACGAATGTCAACTACAAGACTGTTAATGAAGAAGGGATGGTTTTGCCTAAATGGAATTCTAGACATCTCTTTTTATTTCATTTCTAATACAGTTTAATCTTGGTGGGATGGGTCCTTTTAAGGAAAATGTACAAAGTAAACATTTTAAATATGAGTCTCTCATTGCTAATTCTTACCTACTGATTTCACCTTTCACTGTTTTTTTTTTTTTTTTTTTTTTTTTTTTTCTGTGAGGATTCTGTTGTTCATAGAACTTTTCTATTTCAGTGATCTGTCTTCGTTTCTGAAGCTGCCTTAGTTTATCAGTTTTCACTGTCATTCAGATAATGTTTAGGCAGTATTATAATTGTTTAGGAAAAATAGAATGAAGTTTTGCATGGTCAGTGATCTTTTTCCAGGAGGATGAAGAAGCTTATATATTGAATTTAGAGCAATTGAAAGTATAAAAAAGTAAACCGTGGCTTTGAATATATTCAGCCCCAAATCATTTTTCCCAAGCTACTTTTAAAGTTTGTGTTTGCCAAAGGAAAACAAGTTAACCACTTTGCTTGCCAGTCAGGTTTCCTCTTTTGCCTTCCAAAGATTGTAAAGGAAATAGAATACCACTATTTTACAGAGGTACAGGAGCTTGGAAAAGTAAGAATATATTACACTCAACATTACATTTCCACCTGAAATGAGTGCCATACAACTGAGAATTTTCTCAAATATTTTTCATTTCTCACTTCTTCATAGCCCTAAAAAACTTCAGCTGGAAAACTATTTTCTTTCAGATGGAAAAGCTAAGTTCTTTCAGACGGCCCTTAATCAGCATGTTATTTTAAATATTCTTAAAGACAGATATTTTTTTCTACAATGTTACAGATAATGTAGTTTTACAGGGAAAGCAGAGAAAAGGTCTTTAAATGTATTTTTAACCGACATAGGAAATAGAATCTGAGGCTCCAATTTGCGATTTGTTTATAAATACATTTGAAAAGGTTAGCATTCTTTAAATTATTAGCAGAGGCAAATATATGAAGTGCCATGTTTTTGTCACCATCATCTTTCCACCTTGATCAAGAATTAAATTGAAAGGAACTAAACAAGACTTTGGGGTAAAAAGCATGCTCCATAGTACTTGCAGATTTTGTCACTATATAGATTCCCTTAAACCAAAATTGCCTTCCTAGTGAAAGGGTTTCTCATGATACCATTTGACTATATTTCAGGAAAACAGTGCATGTGCTTGGTGGATCTGGATCGAGCAAGAGCTGCAGAAGAATGTGGCTACTCCGTTCAAGTGATATCCATGGAGCCAGAGAGCTGCTCTCCCAAAAATAACATGATTGTGGGAATCCCCATTTAAAATGATATTCACATTTGATATTTTGCCATCCGTCTTCACGTTGGATGCCCAGTAGCATTCAGGAGGTTCTTGGCATAACTAGGAAACAGCATTAGCCATCTTGAATCTATTGTGCGCAGGAAGAAAAGCAACAGGAAAATCTTAGAAGAAAGGCTTCCTGCACAGCATCACAAATGCTCTTAACAATGTGTGATTAAAGGACTGCTGGTTTTCATAGTGAGAATCCCCTGAAGTCTCAGCTGCCAAAAGAATAATACTAGTGGAGGTTCCATCACAGGAATAATAATTTCTTTCTCACTTCACAAGCTCTTCTGATCTTGCCAATGTGATGTTTAATTCAAAACAGTGTACTTACAGCCTTTATTTTATACTTATTTAGATATTCACATGGGGAGTGAAACTAGACTCAGTGGAGTTTTTTTGTTTTTTATATTTTTAACAATTGTACTTTTTCTATAACTTTAAAAAAATCTAGTCAGGTAATTATAGTATAATTATTTTTAAGCTGGGGTTAGTTGAACTTATATAGCACTTAATATACTCCTTTTAAATATATTTCTGCCAGGCATGGAGGCTCATACCTGTAATCTCAGCACTTTGAGAGGCCAAGGTGGGAGGACCATTTGAGCCCAGGATATCAAGACCAGCCTGGACAACATAATGAGACCTCATCTCTACCAAAAATTTAAAAATGAGGCAGGATTGAGCCCAGGAAGTCAAGGCTGCAATGAGCCGAGGACATCACAGCACTCCTGGCTGGTTGACGAAGTGAGACCCTGACTCAAAATAAATGAATGAATGAATGAATAAATAAATAAATAAATATCCCATAAATTACCAAATGAGATCATCACTGGTTCAAATTATTAAATAATTGCAACAAAATTCCTATTATGGGAATGTGGAATTTGGACACAAATTTTAACAATAAAGGTATGTTAGTTAATAAATTTAAGTTTGTAAGTAATTATTAAGGATCTAGTATTTTCAAGACCTTGGCCTAGATTCTTTTCAAGATTCAAAGATGAGATGCAAAAGATATAATGTTTTGCCTATGGAAGTAAATCATCTAGAAGGAAAAGATTAAAGAATTAGTTAAGTTCTTCATATTACAATGTATTGTCACAGGATTTGTAATTCAGATGTCAATCATTTATAAATTCTTTTTCTGCCAGCCAACATTTTAAAAGACAAATGATGCATCGTTTCTCAATGCTGCTAATTCTTTAACCTTTACATGTCCCAAGTATTCCATTTGAGATTTATTTCATTGATTTTGATGTTTTTAACCCCAGTGTAACATGTATCATGAGGAGAAGCACTTTCATTGATCATCACTCTGGATTAAAATATAGGAATATTTTACAAGGTAGTTTTGGTGGGGTGGGAGACATTTTGGAATCTTGTTTTCTGGGATAAATTTTTTAAAAAGAATTAGCCATTAGCCCTGAGTATTTTAGTCATTTGTGCCCATAGATAACAACATGCTCTTTTATTCTGGACTTTCTTCTTTTCATTGAGGTTTAATTTATATACCATAACAGATTTTTAAGTATTCATTTGAGACGTTTTGACAACCGTGTGTATCTATACACGCAACCATCACTGAAATCAGATATAAAATATTCCCATCAAATACTTTCAGGTAAACACTTTGAGAATATTTTGCCAGTCTGTTGCTTACCTACTTATTTTCATAATTAATATTTTAATTTTGATGAAAATTTAATTTACCCTTTTACTTTAATGATTAATATTTTCTGTGTCCTTTCTAATAAATTTTACCAACTCTAAGATTATAAAGATTTCTCCTAAGATTTTTTTGTAGAAACCTTATGGTCCTAGCTTATTATATTTAGTTATATGATCTATCTCAAATTAAATTCACATATAGAGGTAGGTAGATTTTGAGGAATATATAGTTGTTTCAGCATCATTTAAAAAAATCCCTTCCTCTCCTCATTGAACTGCCTTGGCCCCTCTGTTGAAAGTCAGTTGATATGTATATATGAGTCTATTTCTGAATTCTGTAGTCTTTTCCATTAATCTATTTATCTTATTGCTATAGCTTTATAGTAAATCTGGAAATGAGGTAGTTTGTCTTCCAATTTTTTTTTTTTTTTCTCTATTTTGGCTGTTCTGGATCCATTATATTCCCATGTAAATCTTAGAATTGGTTTGTCAATTTCTTTTTTAAATTTAAAAAAACTTGATAGGAATTTTCTCATTGCCTGTTCTCTTTAGATCAATTTCAGGAAAATGAATATCTTAACAAGATTGAATCTTATAATCTATGAATATATCTTTCCATGTGTTTAGGTCTCCTTTAATTACTCAGAAACATTTTATAAGTTATTTTCTGTGTAGATGATTTGTTTTATTTATTACGGTTTTACGGTGAGCTTTTTACATGCTGTTCCCTGTACTTAGAATAACCTCTTTTTACCCCTCCCACTAGCTTAATGTCATTCATCCTTCTGCTCTGAGACTTGACCTCCCTGGAATTAGGTATCTGTCATAAAACGTGTACCGTCCAGAGTAGTCTTCTCAGTACTCTCCAGGTGACTCAAGGTACACACCCCTGCCCCTGCTTCGCCACCACCAAAAAAAAAAAAAAGCTCATCTGATGAGTATGGAGAACAAAAATAGAAAGAGGGGCCAGGCGTGGTGGCTCACACCTGTAATCTCAGCACTTTGGGAGACTGAGGCAGGTGGATCACTTCAGGTTAGGAGTTTGAGCCTAGCCTGGCCAACATGGTGAAACCCTGTCTCTACTAAAAATAGAAAAATTAGCTCAGCAGTAGTGGTGTGTGCCTGTAATCCCAGCTACTCAGAAGGCTGAGGAAGGAGAATCGTTTGAGCCTGGGAGGTGGAGGTTTTGGTGAGCTGAGATCTTGCCACTGCACTCCAGTCTGGGAGACAGAGTGAGACCTTGTCTCAAAAAAAAAAAAAAAAAACAATAGAAAGGGGACCCATTGCTCTCCCACCTTTGTTCTTGGCATGGCATTCTCCAGCTGTGATGGCTTCGGTTAGTAAAAGATACAGGTTTTGTGACTGCTCTTTGGGCATTATTTTTCTATGTAAATCCTTGCCAATGCTTCATTCCCAGCCAGGGCAAATAAAAATGGTTGGATACAGAGAGCAGGAAGATTGTTGCAATGATAAAAGCCCAACAAGTGACCTTATCTTACCTTCATCTTTGTCCATCAAAAGCAAGGCTGCTGCTCACTGATCTATCTCCCCCAAGGTTGTAATAATATTAGAAACCACAGCTTATCTTTCATTGGCTTTTGAGCCTGATTCAGAGAAACAAGGGTATAATTATTAATGACTAAACTGGCTTATTTTGGGAGACAGATTTCAGTCACATTAGATATCAAAACATTTTCAGGGCACATATGCAAGGTAATATGTAAATAACACCAGTTAAACATTTAGTTTCATTCTAAAGATTTTGGATATAGGTGTTGCTATTCCATGGTTCAAGAAAATTGCTATTAATAGAGTTTTCATATACTGAAACCTGTTTTTCTACTGACTTACATAATGAAATTAGAGATACATTTCTGTAAAGTGATAGGAAATTATAATAAAGAAAGTGATACATTTTAAATTATAATTTTTTAAAAAAAACTATCATTACAAAAGTAGTTTGGAGTTTTTGGATACAATTTTTTTCTTTTCGAGACAGTGTCTCTGTCATTCAGGTGAACACAGCTCCCTGCAGCCTCCACCTCCCCAAACTCAAGCCATCCTCCCACTCAGCCTCCAGAGTAGCAGGGACTACAGGCCCATGCCACAACGCCCAGCTAATTTTTGTATTTTTTTGTAGAGATGTTTCATCATCTTGCCCAGCCTGGTTTTGAACTCCTGGGCTCAAGCAATCTACACCTCAGCCTCTTAACATGCTGGGATTACAGGTGTGAGCCACTGTAACCAGCTGAATACACATTTTTAATTACAAAGAAATACATATTTGTTACAGAAAAGAAGATGCGGCTAAACAAAAAGAAGAAAATTCTTAAATTCACTGTGTTAATACTTTGTTGTATGTCTCCTAGACAGTTTTTATAGACACATACATACACATACACACACACATACAATACACATACACACACATATACATACACACACACATTTTTTTTTATTCATTCATTTTTTGTTTTATAGAGACAGGTCTTGAACTCCTGCGCTCAGGCAATCCTCTCACTTTGGCCTCCCAAAGTAGTGGGATTACAGGTGGGAGCCACCTCAATTGGCCCACCCAGATTTATTTAACAAATATTAATACAGTACTTAGTATTTGCTAGGCACTATTCTAAGTCCTTTACAAATAACGCATTTCATCTTTTAAGTCTTTTATTCCTCATAATGACCCTATGAACTAGGTACCATTAATAATCCTGTTTTACAGAAACGGAGGCTAAATTTACACAATAAATGCAGACTTGTATTTGAATTCAGCCAGTAATTGGTAGAACTAATATTCAAATTCAGGCTATTTAGCCACCCTATCAGGACTGGCTGGAATAAACTATGATAACAGAATCTCTGGGTCTTTACCCAAGAAAGATACAGTTTTCACTCATACTACATATCTGTCCAAATTGCTATGACTATTCCACATTATCTTCATACTATAACTTAGCCTGACTGGTCAGCCTCTGGGAACATAGCTGGTCTCCTGGCAAGGGAAAAATTGGCATGGCAAACTACTAGCTAGTTATTGAAGATTCAGCTCAGATGTGATACACATTGTTTTCCTTATTTTATTGGCTAAAGTGAGTTATATAGTGCCTCCTGATATTAAAGGGTGGGAATATATAGCTTTATATAATAATGTACTACCAACAATATAGTAGAAGGAAGAAAGCGAAGGAGAGGATAAGGGGAAAAGAACAAAAGAAAAAGACCATCACATATTCCAGTTTGGAAATAGAGTTCTTAAATGCCATTGACTTGGTATAGGCCATTCTCTCTAATCCATCAAAGAGAAGGAAGGCATGTGCCACAGGTATTTCCTGCTGTGATTGTTCCTACCTTATCTGCAAAAGTTATGTTCCAAGACTCCAATAGATGCCTGAATCCTTAAATAGTACTGAACCCTATGTATACTGTTTTTGATTCTGATAACCAAGATGGCTACTAAGTGGCATGGTTAGCTTATATAGTGTGGATACACTGGACAAAGGGGTGATTCAAGTCCTGGGCTGGATGGAATGGGACAGCACAAAATTTCATCACACAGAATAGCATGAAATTTAAAACTTATGAATTATTTATTTTTGGAATTTTCCAATTAATATTTTCAGACCACCAATAACTGAAACAGTGGAAAGTGAAACCATGATTGAGAGGGAATTAATTGTATTGCTTTGTGAACTTTCAGACTTACTTTTGAAAAGGCATTTTGAAGGTTGAAGAAACATTAAATGGAGTTTCATATTTGTAAAGCCCTTTTTTGACTCATATATTAAAGTATTTGATCTATAATACCAAATATTCCTTTAAGAAGGAATAAGGTTACACTCCTATGAGGAATATATGAGTATTTATTTCCCTACACCCTTCATTGATACAGGCATTATCAAATGTCTTTTTAAATAGTGGCAATTTAATGGGCAAAGAATGCTATCTTGTATAAAAGTATATGATTTGATATTTTTTCATATGTTTTTTAGCAATTTATAATCTGAGTTGTCTAGGCAATCATCAATTTATTTAATCAACACATTTATTGAACTTTGAGCCTAGGCATTGCGTTTTTGTCTCTTACTCATTTTTTACCTGGTACTTTCATCTTTCACATAAATTAGTAAAGGTTTACTTGTGGATTAAAGATTTTGTTGATTACATTACTTTTTTTTAAGGTGGCCTTTATGAAGGAAGGTGTTGTTTTGTTTTAGTTTGCTATTATAAAGTTTAAAATATGTCACTGTCTTCCTTGTGGTTTCTCAGAAAAAGTCCCCACCACTTAAAGAAATTCATCTATATTTTTTATATTCTAATTCTTTAATAGTTTTAGTTGTTACATTTAAATCTCAAAACCACCAATAATTTCTTCTGGTGGTTAGTTTGAGGTAGAAATCTAATACTGTTTTTTATGTCAGTTACTTTTCATAATGCCATTATGAAAAAAAGCCAGATTCGTATCCCATTGATTTGAGATGCCTTTATTATGTACTAAGTACACCTGAAACTTTCTTCACTTCCATTCTGTTCTTTTTTTTTTTTTTTTTTTTTTTTTTTTTTTTTTTTTTAAATTAAGTTCTGGGATACATGTGCAGAACACGCAGGTTTGTTACGTAGATTTACATGTGCAGTGGTGGTTTGCTGCATCCATCAACCCACCATCTATATTAGGTATTCTTCTTAATGCTATTCCTCGCCTTGCTCCCCCACCCCCTAACAGGTCCCAATGTGTGACATTCCCCTCCTTGTGTCCATGTGATTGCATTGTTCGAGTCCTACTTGTGAATGAGAACATGTGGTGTTTGGTTTTCTGTTCCTGTGTTAGTTCACTGAGAACAATGGTTTCCAGCTTCACCCATGTCCCTGCAAAGGACATGAACTCATTCTTTTTAATGACTGCGTAGTATTCCATGCTATATATATATGCTACAATTTCTTTATCCTATCATTGACGGGCACTTGGTTCCTAGTTTTTGCTATTGTGAATAGTGCTGCAATAAACGTGTGCATGTGTCTTTATAATAGAATGATTTATAATCCTTTAGGTATATACCCAGTAATGGGATTGCTGGGTCAAATGGAATTTCTATTTCTAGATCTTAAGGAATCACCACATTGTCTTCCACAATGATTGGACTAATTCACACGCCCACCAACAGTGTAAAAGCATTCCTATTTATCCACATCCTCTCCAGCATCTGTTGTTTCCTGACTTTTTAATGATTGCCATTCTAACTGGCATGAGATGGTATTTCATTGTGGTTTTGATTTGCTTTTCTCTAATGACCAGTGATGATGAACTTTTTTTCATGTTTTTGGCTGCATAAATGTCTCTTTTTTTTCTTTGAGACATGTCTGTTCATATCCTTCACCCACTTTTTGATGGGAAGGTTTGTTTTTTTCTTGTAAATTTGTTTAAATTCCTTGTAGATTCTAGCTATTAGCCCTTTCTCAGATGGATAGATAGCAAAAATTTTCTCCCATTCTTTAGGTTGCCTGTACTCTGTGATGATAGTTTCTTTTGCTGTGCAGAAGCTCTTTGCTTTAATTAGATTTCATTTGTCAATTTTGGCTTTTGTTGCCTTTGCTTTTGGTGTTTTCATCATGAAGTGTTTGCCCATGCCTATGTCCTGAATGGTATCACCTAGGTTTTCTTCTAGGGTTTTTCTCATTTTAGGTCTTACATTTAAATCTTTAATCCATCTTAAGTTAATTTTTGTGTAAGGTGTAATGAAGGGCCCGGTTTCAGTTTTCTGCATATGGCTAGCCAGTTTTCCCAACCCCATTTATTACATAGGGAATGCTTTCCCCATTGCTTGTTTTTGTCAGCTTTGTCAAAGATCATATAGTTATAGATGTGTGGTGTTATTTCTGAGGCCTCTGTTCTGTTCCATTCGTCTATATCTCCCTTTTGG